CGCAGGACAGTCTATGTGGGCAACTTGGACTCCGCCACTGTAAGTTGAAGGGGTGACGTATGTTGTATTTTCTTACACAACCTATTCTTTAAACGTAATATCCTCCCCGCTTTATGCCTCTGTGTGGCAACACTATACTACTTCTTCAACTTACTAAAAGTCTGTCTATTATAGTATAATTCAGGACTAAACTAATTCCTTCTAACTTCTTAAACTAAACTTCTATTAATAAGTCCTAAACACTATGGCACAACATTGATTTAGTTAATACAATTAGCAAATACACCAATCAAAAACCTCCTTTTCCTTTCTCCTTCCTTCCTGTTTCATGACTTCGATTGACAGGTCTTTCAGACAACACTTGTTCAGTGTGTATGAGTGTGACTTGACCTTCCTGTCACTCGTAGGTTACCGCCGAGCAGCTCCTGAATTTCTTCCAGCAAGTGGGTGAGGTGAAGTACGTTCGGATGGCGGGGGACGAGACCCAGCCCACGCGCTTCGCGTTCGTGGAGTTTGCTGACCAGACATCCGTGGCGAAGGCCCTGCAGTATAACGGCATCATGTTCGGAAACCGACCACTCAAGTATGTCAACGTTTTTTTACACACTTTTCTTTGAAAGTGTCTGTATTTTACAGCTGGGAAATTTGAAGTTATTTTATGTTTTAGTACCAAAAAAATTGGATAAAAATACACAGCTGTTTTTTCACAATGTTTAATGATATACAGTTGTACTTTCAATCCTTTTATTTGTAAAAAGTTACTTGTGTAGATACCAAAATTCTATTATTTTGACTTCTCTAACATACAAGTTATTACTGAAATTATTTATGGTATTTTGAGATATGAGTATGATAAAGACCATACACAGCTCCATATAAAACAAATCTAGATGTTTTCATAATAATTATGATTTTAGGAAAATAGCTTGTAGCTTTCCTAGGATACATGTAAATGCTTGGAAAGTGTGATGCTTCCCTTTGGTAGTGTTAATGTGATCAACAACTGTTAGATACGATTGTTTTATTGAAGAAAACTCGTAATGTCTTGATTATCATTAAGTGTATAGTATATGAGGGGTTTACATGTATGTACATGTACCTCTAGATCTCTAGCAGAACTTTCTTGTTACAATGTTACATGTCACTGGTAACAGTATATCTGACATTCACATGAGGAAATTGTGAATTTGTCAGACAGTTGTGAATAGATTTAGTATGATATGATGATACAGTTTAAAGGGTAGCAAGATTTAAGTGTTTCTATATTTGGTGACATAATGGATTTTGGCATAGTGATGTTGTGGTTTATTAAATTTTGTTCCCTCTATTTCTAAAAGTGGTTACAATACAAACATCTCACGTATGATGCCATTGTGGTGCACAGGGTTCGCTGTCGTGATCAAATTTTAAAGGCAAAACATTTTTCTTACAAAAACATGGAGAGTGAATATTTCCACATGTTGAGTGGTAGGGCCTAGGAAAAAAAATGTTGTATTTCCTGTTTCAGTCCTGAAAATATTAGGGTCGGTAGGTACAATGTAGGGATTATCTTTTTTTTCCTTAACTTTTTTTTTACTTTGGATAGCGATCCAAGTTCATCCAAGTCATACAATACAGTTCAACAAAGTAAAACTTGCATGAGGACGCCTATATTTTCAATGTCAATGTTGTTGTACAATGTTTCATCTCTCAGGTGTCAGATCATGGAGCTAGAAAAGGTTGATCAGCTCTAAAAAAGTATATCCTTGCTAGGATTCCTTAAAAAAAATACTAGGGTTGGTAGGGTTTTCTAGGGTCGGTAGGGAAACAGGAAACACAATTTTTTTTTTCCTAGGCTAAGGTCCCAGACATTTTGCCCTTGGGAAAGGCATTTAACATGCATTTCCCCCCTCAGTTAGAGGGATCCCAGGCCCTACTGGGGTTTGGGTTGGTGTTAGGAAGAGTGTCCAGCCGTAAAAATCCTGCTTCAAAAAAAGACTTGTACAATGTACTTGGTGCAAGCACGTCTAACCCCCGGTTGGGGAAAAATGACGTTAAAATTTGGTTTAAAAAAAAAAGGTCACGTTGCAAACCCTGCTGTGCCTGTAAAGCTGGTATCTCCTGACGTTTGGGTGTATGTGGAGAGTAATGTGACTGTTATTGTTACTCCAGGCTCGGCGGTGAGAACACGGGGCCGTGAATAGGCTGCCACGAGCCCTACAGGGAGTTTGTTTCCCCCCAGTTCACACTTAACACAAACTACCATTCTGTCAACGCCTTCCTTCTGGGATGTGTGCACCAGCGCCCCCTCTGTGTACAACTTGAACTGCAGAGGGTTGTTTCTGCTCAGTTTTTTGAAGGTGCAGATAAAAGGAAAATGTTTTTAGAGACTCCGCATGGGGTTTTGCTAGTACAGATGACAGAAAATTGTTATTAAGGGTCGACATGAGGTTTTACTGATGTATGTAAAAGAAAATGTTTTACGTTCCACATGGTTTTTTCTGATCAATTCAAATTATTATTGAGGCTGCACATGGGGTTTTGTTGCATCCTAGAAGGAAGGGCTCCCCTGCAAAGCCTGTTTAGTGTATGATTACCTTACGGTTTGTTAGTGTGCCGGCGACACACCACCCAATGTCTCATAGGCTCTAAACCTTAATTTCCAGGATTAACCATTCCAACAATGCTATCGTCAAGCCCCAGACTCAGACTCCCGAGGCACAGCGCCGGGAAATCGAGGAGGCCATGAAACGAGTCCGCGATGCGGAGGCTCTAATCACAGCCGCCATCGAGCCAGGTGCGCCCAAACTCTCTCTTCCTACTGTATTCTCCATTTCTCTCTAATCCTTTGGTATGTCGCATATTAGGGTTAATTACTCCAACATCGCCCTAAACAAACCTGTGGCCCTGACCAACCCCCACGTGGCCCAGATTGACGCCGTCTTGAACCAAGTGCGAGAAGCACAGAGTCATATCTCCTCCGCCCTCAATGCAGGCAAGTGGTCATTCAACGAGAACAGCACTACTACCTCTGTGTATGTTTGGGCCTGGCGCCCCAGGTGTGGAACTAGCCGGGCATTCTGTCCATCAGCCGGGTTCATGGTGCGGTGTTCCGCTCTTCTGCTCACCCTAAACATCACATTCACATCCGTTACATGTTATCCTGGCTGTCACAGGGTTCGAAATTCATTTTTTTTTTAATAGGTGCACTGTTGCACCCAAATTTGGGTGCACAAAAAATTTTTTGGGTGCACCATATAAAATCTTACTGCCCCTCTTCTAATCTAAGATTAAATTTGAAATGAGAGCTGACTTCAAAATATTAGTAAAGTACTACAGCAGAGATTTTGTTATTTTTCTGATACTTAGATGCCAAGCATATCCTGTATACATTTAAAATGTATAAAAATACCTACAAAAATATTTGGGTGCACCAGTGCACCCACAGAGAAGAATTGGGTGCACAGCTCCAAATTTGGGTGCACTAAGGTGCACATGCACCCTGAGTATTTTGAGCCCTGCGGAAAGAAACACAGAGTTTAGGTGAATAGCACTAAAAAAATGTGTACATTTTGTTCCTATGTATGGTTGGGCTAAAGTATGAAAAGACGTGTGTATCATGCTTCACCAAGAAGTGAAATTCTATGGTTAAAAGCACTCTACAGGCTCAGATTCAGTTTGCTCTGTCCTAGGGAAACTTTTCGTAGCTCAGTTGAAAGTTTTCTGTTTTGTTTTGGAACTCTGGGTAGCTAGGGCTCGAAATTCATTTTTGGAAATAGGTGCACTGGTGCACCCAACCTAAAAAAATTAGGTGCACAAAATTTTTTTTGGGTGCACCATATGAAACAAAACATAATTGCAGGTCTTACTGCTCCTCTTCTGAGCTTAAATCTAAAATGAGAGCTAACTTCAAAATCTTAAACAAGACAGTACTACAACAAAGATTTTATTATTTTTCTGATACTTGGAGACAAAGAATATCCGGTATACTATTATACACTTCTAATGTTAAAAATTCCTACAAAAATATCTGGGTGCACCCACAGAAAAATATTAGGTGCACAGCTCCAAATTTGGGTGCACATGTACCCAGTATTTTGAGCCCTGGTAGCAGATCACTGTACCATGAACCACAGGATGCCCCCCCTCAACAACTGCATGGGCTGAGAGTCAAGGTGCATGGCAGAGAACAGTAGTCATTGGTTGTTTGCATAGTTCTGGCTTACATAACCAAGGCACACCCTCGTGTCCCAACCCTGCCAACCAGGATGGAAGCAAGGATGCCATTTCTGACTTCATAATCCTCCATTTTACCTCTTATAATCAGTTTGATAACCCAGCACTTCCCAGTTAGAGGGAATTCAGGACATGTACACACACAGACATACACTACAGTATGGACAGAGTTCTTCCTTACTTGTGTAAAAGCACAGTATGTTACAAAAAACAAGCGGTTTTATGTTTTGACTTCAAACTATGGTGCCAAAATCAAAGAAAATTCAACGTAGGATTGAAGACTACGATCTTTTTTTAAAAGGTATCGCACTTGGACAACTTCAACCCCAAATCTTTGAAATCCTGAGTTTTTAAATGTAATACCCCTTACATCAAACATTAGAGAATACACAGTAGTATGTTTTTGCTAATGTTTGATGAACAGAAATTGGCACAAAATTTTTGTTGTACATTTTGGAATGGAGTTTATTACTTGCTGGTAGTGCTGAGTACAAGAGGAAGAAACAGATGGAAAGACTGACACAACACACAGTTTGACTGCATGCTAGCTACGACTCACTGCAACTGTTACTTACCGCTTGGCTGCTGGGTTCTCTTGTGCCTTCTGTTGTGTCTTGGTTTTTGCTAACAAGCCTGGCCACCCCCAGAATGTCACTGTGGAATATTCCATGGTCCCTTGATTGATGTCATGTAGTCGGACAAACCAAACATATATATAGGGGTGGTCAGGACGTTTGATGTTAACAGGAAAGTTGCTGAGATGAGCCTTTTGTTGTTAGAATTGGACTAAGTTTGGAACATCATGGAATATTAAATATGATGTACAATGTACTGTACAGATCTCAATTGACTTCAAATCTACACATGTGTAAAATGTGATTAAAAAGACATGCATTTCCTGATTAGAGCATGTGCAAGAGCTATGCAATTGTCATTGAAATCACTTCATCTCTAGTACGTGGTTCGGGAGTTCTAACTGCGTGTTGCATAGCTTTCAAACATGATTTAAATGCAATTTACACGACTTTTGCACAAGAAAAAAACTAGTTAAAACGGATTGTAAAACCTGCAGGTTAACCTGAGATCTGTACTGTATGTTTTATCTTAAAGCGGAAGGCCAACACTTCTGGACTTGTTACCAACAACGAGGACTGTTTACAAGTTTGAGGCTTCACCTTGCGCTTGTGCAGTTTAAACATTGAACCAGCTTATTATTGCCTTTTCATTCAAAGTCTGAGACTCTGTTTTCAGTTGAAATAAAGTTAGGAGTTTGACATTCGATTTACCGTCCCGTTTGACTCACAGTGAAGTATAAAATTAGAATATGACTTAGAATACGACTTGACAGTACTGTACACCATGGTTAAGATATGGGCATATCCTTTGTGTGGTAAACCAAAATTCCAAACAACTAGTTGTCATACCAAAGTATTAGTCCACCTTTTCTCTCTTTTTCTTAACTTTTGTTTTTATAATGTTGGTCAATTGCTACATTGTAAGTGGAAAAATTCCATCAACTTGCAATTTTTAATGTGTACTATGTTTCCCGACACCAAAGTATAATTGACTTTGTATATCAATGGTACAATCATGAAGTATTATTTAGCGTTGTATGTTAGAATGTCATAATTCCTCAAAAGTCTTCAAGGCATTTGAAGACTTTTTTCACAGTGAATGAATACAGCAAAATTTTCAAATTTTTTGGTCAACTTTTTGATTCAAACTCTTGTATCACTGATTTTTGATTGTCCAAAAATTGATTGTCCAAAATTCTATGCCAATGTGAAATCTAATGATGCTGCTTGTAACTACATGTGATCTCCAAGCAGATGTTGTGGTGAAAAAGATAACATTTTGTTATTGGCCGGCTTTTGTGACAGTCGGCTCAAACACAACTCCATCCCAACATCTGCTTGGAGACCAGGGTCAGACATGAAATCCCTGCCAAGCTTCAGCCCAAGGAAACAATCTCTGTCAACAAGACACAGTGTTCTAGCCAGCCTGAAATTTTTCCGTCATCTCAGTTTTCTTTCAAATAACATCATGTTGAGTGCAAAAGGCACCAGCATGACAACTCTGGGGGTGTCTATGGCTCAAAATTAACAGTGTCCCGATGGCCACTGACCACTAAAATTTAGGCTGGGACACCTGAAAAGTCACTTTGGGACATTTTTGGGACAATAGAAAAATAATGAACATCAGAATGTCAGCCTTACTTTTGTCGATCAGACAGGCGTCCCGGCTTTTGGCTCGGAAAAGCCCCACAAATTTCTTGTCTAGAGTCAGAACATAAAGAAATTAAGTTGACTTCAACTTGTTGTCAACTTGTCATACATACTAATACCTCCCGAGAAACAGGTTGGGACTGTTCAACCTCACTTCGGTACAATTGAAGTATATTTTCAGGACAGTACTGGGACAATAAGAAAAAAACTTAATTTTGAGGACTTCTGTCCCCGGGAAATTTTGAAATCTTGATCCTCTGAAACACCATTTCCTGCATTTTGAGGGACAAATTTTGTTGGTAGATTGATTTAATGACATCTCTTGCTATACCTCTACAAGGTTCTTTTACTGTAGTCTATCAAAAATTATGCATTAGGCAAAGTTTGTTCTGAAATGATGGAAAGATGGATGCTAGCTGGAACACTGATATATGTGGGCAGAGTAAGCTCCCCCCTAAAAAATAGTCTGAAATCTCCCACTTTTACCCATAGCTTTCAAAGTTTTGGTTTGTATATTTGATAATTTCATGTTGTTTAGCATTGTTTGAATTGGGCAGTAGTCCTCTTGTGCGTAATGTATTCCACTCAACCCAAATGCAGGAACTATGACGGCGGCCACGTTGTTGCAAATCCCAACCATAGGTACATTCTCCCGCTAGACTAAAGTGTCTCTCTCTGCAGTGATGTGCTCTTAAACATTAACACTAATAAAAGCACGTGTATACACGGTCGTTTTTTTTTTTTAATGACTTTCTGCATTTTGAAGTTGTGATTTGAGACAAATGCCCTGCTGTTGAAACTTTGGTTCTAGAAAAGCCAACCTTACGGTCTTCAGAAGTTTCAGAAAAGAAGGAGGACAAACGTCGACGGAGCCGGTCAAGGTCACGCTCGTACTCCCGCAGGCGCCGCTCACGGTCAAGGTCACCACGGAGGTGAGCAGTACTGGACATTTGGACATGTTCACAGGGTTGTTTACTTAGTAAGGCCACAGCAAGTAATTTTTATGGATGGCATCAGCGCACATATTAATTTTGGGGGAAAAACAAGAAATTTTGTTGCCCTCTGACACTAGTCAACCTGCCAAAAATGGGCAAAGATGTCTGTTGCCATGCCGGAACGTGAATGTCAGATAACTATGAAGACAGGAGACAAGAAAAGACTCTGATTCAATGTATTGTTTTTTTAAATTGATGTTTTTTTTACAGTGATATGTGATGCTGGCTGTGTACATGTGATGTTCTCACTGAATCAAAACCATTTGTACAATTATTGAGTCAAAATTTGAGAATGTAGGAACCTTGTTTTTTCAGCCCGCCTTGTTTTTTTTCGCCCGCTCGCATTAGATTTGGAGTCTGCGGAGGATGTCATCCATAAACTTTACTTTACTTGCTGTGGCCTAAAGATGTCGCCATGAAAATATGCATTTCTGGTGTCTGCACTGTATGTAGAGAATTGTTTTCACTCCAAACTTAAAACACCATGCGCATCTTCTTTCCCTCTTAGGGCTCAAAATACTTTTTTCTGCATACCTGCACTGTTGTAGGTAACATTAGATAATTATTACCAGTACCAGACAAATTTTACTGGCACCAGTTAGACTTAGAGTTTAGGAAGCATAGATCCCATTAAAAATATTAAGAAACCATTGCTATTATTTCTAATACATGTCATAGGTGATAACACTCAATGCAGCAAATAAAATTCCACATACACCTACATGACCCAGTACATGGACCAGTGCAGGTTATGTGAAGGTAGACATCAGAAATACATGTACCTGAACAGTTCCAATTCTACCTGCACTAACCTGCATATTCAAGTGGGATTTCAAGCCCTTCTCTTTGCAAAAAGTGCAAGCTAAAATCAATGAATTTACACTACTATTGATGTTTTAAACTATTTAGAAAGGGTACATGTTCACTTGTTGAACAAATTTGCAAAATTTACAAATTGCTAGCACAAGTCAGGTATTGAAGTTAGCAGTTTAGTTACATTTTTAGTTGACTTTAGGCCACACCAATTTAATTTGTTGCTTCTCGGATCGCCCTGTCCATTTTTTTCTGATTTGCAAAAAAAAAAGAAAAAAATTTTCGGTTCTTAATTGACTGCAAAATGCTCGATGAAAGACATATTTTGGCCCCAACAGTTGAAGACAGTCCTTTTCTTCCTAGTTCTTAAAGTTTTTCAATGTAACAATGCAATTTCGTTTCATTAAAAGTTTTAGCCTGGTATGTTCACTTCATGGCTCATATTGTAACATTTTGGGCTATCATGAGGTGCCTTGGCCTGTTTTTTTTTTTTCTAATTTTTATTTCGCCCTGTTGCTCCTAATTTTTTCTGAAAAAATCCGAGAAACAACAAATCAAATTGTTGTGGCCTTAGAATCGATGGTGCAAAAATAACCAGATCTACTGCTAACACACGATGTATCACCTGCTTGTTCCGCAGATCGCGGTCCCGGAGGTCTCGCAGCCGGAGCCGACATCGCCGGTCCAGGTCACGGTCCCCGAAGAGACGCTCCCGTTCCCCGCGCAGACGCAGGTCACGTTCCCGCGAGCGAAGGTCACGCTCTCGATCCCGGTAAGGCTACTAGCTGAACGCTGTCTGATATACACGTAATACTATATTCCATAATGAAGATGACATACTGAAAATAAACTAACTTCTTACATGCTGCCTGCAACTAAGTTCATGGTTTGTGGGCATGTACAGGGTGATGCATTGTGGGTAATGTTTCAAAGTGGATACTTCCCACAATCCTTTGCTAACCTCTTACCTAGAATCCTAAAAAAAAACAGGTTCAGAATCCCCAGCACGACAGCCATATTGAATTCATTCCCCCAAAAACAGGTGTGAAATATATTTTCTCACGTGAAAATGCACCGATTTCCAAGGTTTTAGCTTGTATCATGTATAAAATTGCATAAAATCTTTTTCATGCCAGGTCAGCAAAGGTTTATGGGAAGTGTTAAAGTGTTGAATAGCCAAAGGGCAAAAATGACCCACTTTACCCACAATGCATCATAATGGCCTTGCCTGTAGCATTGCTGTATTGGTATCGTAATGTTAAAGAATTTTCCTTTGCACTTGCATCCTCTTTTAATATAATAGCAGCTGTGCTACTAACACTAATAAACAAAGGAATTGAATAGTTCCAATAGTATTTTCTCGTTCCGAGAAAAACATTTTTGGCAATTCCTAAGGGGTGGAGCCTGTCTATGTGATCCTGTGTACTTATCCACAGACTGTAAGACTTTACTAATGACATAAGGGTGCTGACTGTTCTCTCAATCTTACATAGACGTTCGCCATCCAAATCACCTGCCAGGAGACATTCAACAACAGCCAAGTAAGCACATAGGGACTGGACCATAAAGATCATTGATGTGTTGCAATAAAGTCAGCAAAATTTGGCAGTTCTGAATCAGTACACCAGTGTTCCAGCTAGCATCTGTCTTTCAGTCAAGTTTGCCACTCGTGACGGACAAAAATTGTGCCCAGTCCGTCATCTTTCATGTGCCATTAGGGCCACACCAATTTAATTTGTTGTTTCTTGGATTCACCCTGTCCGTTTTTTTCTGATTTGCAAAAAAAAAAAAAGAATTTCTGTTCTACATCAACTGCAAAATGCTCAATGAAAGACATATTTTGGCCCTAATGGTTGAAGAAAGTCCTTTTCTTCCTAGTTGTTAAAGTTTGTCAATGTAACAGTGCAATTTTGTTTCATTAAAAGTTCAAAATCTATAGTTTTGATTATAAACCACGCTGGTATGTTCACTTCATGGCTAGTATTGTAACATTTTCAGCTATCATGGGGTGCCTTGGCCTGTTTTTTTCCCCCTATCGCTCCATATTATTTTCTTTAAAAAATCTGAGAAACAACAAATTAAATTGGTGTGGCCTAAAGATAATGGAAAGATATTAAACTTAGTCTTCCATCACATCTCAAAATGCAAGAAATTGCGTATCAGAAGGTCAAGGTTTCAAAATTTTTCTGTCAGACTCTTTCAATGCTTGACATAATGTTAAACAAAATGTCTAACAAAATTGAGATGACAGAAAAGAAATGCCTGTAAAGTTTGAGTGAGCCTGTACAGTAACTGTATTTTGTTTTATTGCAACCCCCTGTGATCATATGTGGAACATTCCTGGATGTTGCTTTATTCTGTGTCTCTGTCTTTTTCTTTCAACCCGTGGTTTGATTCACCAAACGCATCTCTTAAAGGATTATGGTTCAATCACAAATTCTTATACTTTCTATCCTATTATCTGTAATTCTGTATGCACAGTTCTTGTTGTTGAACCTTAACACAAATAAAATTTCCTTGAAAGGTTTCCTTTTATGAAAAAGCTCAGATGTACCTAGGATTTGGCACAAAAGAGATGAGCAATGTTTCTTTTTCATGTATTCATTTATGTTCAAGACAAATGATGGAAAATACTCATATGTGTCTTGAATTTGAAACCCTTAATGTAAGTTTAAAAATCAAAATCATTGTAACTCAAAAGAAAGCACAAAGTATCGTCTTCAGTTTAATTACAGCAAATGTGACACAGATTTAGAGAATAAAGTTAGGCCTCACCAGCTTAATTTTATGGATGACATCCCGCCATGCGCACATTGATTTTCACCTGTTCTCAAAAAAAAAAGATCACGTCCCCCGAGGCTCTGGCCTGACTCTAGGCCTGGGTACTCCATGGTAGTTAGCGACAATGCAGAGCCAGTGGTAACTCTGGAGGACGGCACCCAGGCTACTGAAGCTCCACGACTCAAGAACTCAGTACATACAAATGTACGTACAGTGCTGATTCATAAATTCCACAAAAAAATAGCATGTGCCGGCTTGTCGTTATGTACTGCCGCATATTCACAATACCAGCTTTGTATTCCTGTGGTTTAGTAGCATTTTTATTTTTGGCCGGAATTTCTTTTATTCGCCCGCGTGCACTAGTTTGGGAGTGTTTGGAGGATGTCATCCATAGAATTAAGTCGGTGTGGCCTTAGCATTAAAAAAATTGATAAGTTATTTATTGGATGTGTTATTGAAGATGAGCCCTGTTGTTGTTGTGTGTGTGTCAGGGGCAGACGGCGGTCTCGCAGCAGGACACCTCCGCGCAGCTACCGCACCACCAGCCGCTTATCCCGCAGCAAGAGCAGGTCTGTCTTACTGTTTCTCCAGTCAGCCCGTTGGCAGAACGTACTGCACCTGCACGAAACCCATAATGTATTGTGCATAGCACTTCAGCAGAACATCTCATATAAGGTCGTATTCATGCATATGAGGTCAACACTCCGTCTGTAGTTTCCAAATGTTATGTCAGAAAAAATATCGTCTGCAACAGGCAAAATTCTAATGTAACATTGACCAAAAATCTACCGGAAATTGTGAAAAATGGGGGGTTTGCGCAGGCACAGTACGTTTTGCTGACGTGCTTCTTCCATCTACACTACAGGTCTAGAATAACTTTCCATCTAAGAGCATGCTGATCACAAGCTGTTCTACAAGGATCAAAAGCCATCTCAGTTATTGTTTGAATGGCATTTCTAGAGTAAAAGATGTCATGCCCGTAGCCAGAATTTTGAATGAGGAGGGGGGTTCTTTCCACTGCTTGAGGGCACGAGGCGAGCCCGAGGTTTCTAGGGAGGTACGGGGGCATGCTCCCTTTTGAAAAATGAACCTTCCGAAATGGAATTTCCAGCGCTTTTAGAGGATTTCAAACAAGAAATCAGAGATAACTTTTTTCAATGACAAAGTGAGCAGTTTTCCTTCGATTCCAGCCTCGCTGGTGACACAAATCAGTCCATCTTTTAAAGAAAAATCTTGGACCTTTAGATAAAAAGTGGACCAAAAAGTGGACCTTTGAGCCTTGTGGGGGGGGTTCATCCCCTGGCTACGGGCATGGGTGTGTAGGTGTTTGTGTACTCGCGTGTGGTTGTGTACAATGTATGCATCATAGGTAACCACACAGGATTGCAGATAATTAGTGCACACAGTTTACAGGATTTTGCAAAAGTTTTACTGGCTTTTACATTCTTTCACTCACGATGTACATGAATTCTGCACAACAAATAAACTAGATAAAAAAATTTGTGGAAACTTAATCAAGAACTATAATTATGTAGAAAATAACAACATTGTATTCTCCTTAATATTGATCCTAAGTGTAGTTTCTGCTTAAATGTTTTTACCTAAAAGCTTAAGGTTTTGTTTTGGTGTGTGGGTTTGTTTGCATGTGTGTCCATAGTTATTTGAACACAGTGGAGTCACAGGAAGCAATGGGGGGAAATGTTGTAACCACAGACTGGCAAGTTCAACATGGAGGTCAAAATGGCCTCCTTGCAGGCTAGGAGGAAATGACTGGCTATGCAGAGAATCGGCAAAAAAATCACAATAATGAATAAACAAAGGCATTCACAACAACTGTAAATACACTATATGTCATGGTGGTGTGACTCTGTGAGATCTTTCATTTGTTGTTGTTTGTTGCTAACTTGTTTTGATGTGTACAGGTCCCCAAGACGACGTTCCCGCTCGCCCAAACGGTCGCCATCCAAGTCCCCGGCAAGACGACCCTCCTCCTCCAAGTAAGCACTTTGGCATCATACTTAAGATCGATACTAGTACATTATTGTGTCTTTTTAAATGTTTAACCAGGACGGCCTGACACACAGGTCAAGTTTACAACCTGAGTATGGCCTGACACACAGGTCAAGTTTACAACCTGAGTATACAAAAAAAATGTATCTTCCTGGAAAATTTATGAATGAAGCGGAAATTCACTCTTAATACAAAAACACATATACATTTTAGACCAATGCTGAATGTTCCAACCCCAGCCAGGTCACACTAACAACTTGAAAAGTTTATGACAGTTACTCATCCAGTATATACATGTATGCTTATAAATCTCTTAATCAATACAGTCTGGATTAAACACAGAATGGTGTGGGAAGGATTCTAACTTTGCTATGGACTTTTCAGTGTTTGAGTTTACGAAATTAATAATGTTTTTTTTATAAGACATGGTGGTCTTGTGCCGCTAGTGTTGACTCAAAATCCAAAGGTTCTGACTTCAAATCCCTGACAGACTCCACTGTTGTGCCCTAAGGAAAGGCACATTACACCTATATCCTCACTTGACTCGGGGGAATATGAGTACATAGTTTCAGTTAGGGACATCCTCTTGGGTAAGATGTAAAGCTGGAGGTCCTGGGTTTGACGAGAGCCACACATGGAGAGTGTGGAAGATCCCACCGCACTTGTTGAAAAGAGCATGGATCCTTCCCGGTGTGAGTGGTTCGAACCTTACAGTCTGGTCTTACGTAGGTTGTACTTAGGCCACAGCAAGTAAATTTTATGGATGACACCCTCCGCAGACTTCAAATCTAATGCAAGTGGACCAAAAAAACAAGGCAGGCCCAAAAAAAACAAGGTTCCTACATTTTAAAATTTTGACTCAATCATTGTATAAATGGTTTTGATTCAGTGGGAACATCACATATACACAGCCAGTATCACATATCACTGCATCAAAGTAAGAAACAAAAAACACTGGTCACCTCAATTTTGGAATGTCACTTTCCGAATTTTGAGACACCTATGTTGAAACCCCTGATTTTCAACTTTGTTATTCCTGGATGTACAGTGAACTTTTGCATGCCATTGGAAAGATCAAGCTATCTTCAGTACCAGGTTGCTTTTTTTATGGTCAGAATGTACAAATTTATCAAGATATTTGACTTTAAAAATTGCAAGCCTGGCGGTCTAGAACACACACCGTCATGCCCAGCAGCTTAGCCTGGCAGTCCTAAACTTTAGCCCGCGGCCTGAGTTAGCCAGCCCGCATCCAGACCGCATCCAATTAGCCTCATGAACACCCCATGAAAACCACTGAATTAATGAGAATTCACATTTTCACACCTGTGTAATTAACAAGTTTGTGATAAATTCATGAGAGGTCTGGGCTCAATGGTTAGCCCGCGGGCCTGAACAGGCCTGTCGGTCTGTGGACAGGCTGGGCTGATGATTAGGCCTTATGATAGAGAACCTTCAGACTTTAAACACCAAACAGAAAGTGGGAAACAAAAATATGCTGCCAAATTGATGCTTCCAGATTGATGATGGTTTACACTTCACTTCATATCACTTCATATTAATAAACACCCTTCACATTTTCAGCTAATATTTTCAATAAGTGATTACATATTATTGACAAGTATGATGTACAGGTATGAATGATGATAACTTTCATGAATATTCATTTTGAACATTTTCTGCAAAAGCTTCAGAAATTTCTACTGGAAGAATTTTTCCTGTACATGGGAAGAATTGTTCTGCTATTAAGACTGCAAAAAGTCTCTTTCTAGTAGAAAGCTTTTTGAACATGTTTGAGGAGGTGGATTTTGCTCCTGCTGTGCTACCTGGGCTGATACCTGGGCGGGGTGTAACATTTGTGTAACGGTTATGACTAAAAAAGATCAGATAGCATCATAAAAGACCCTTGTCTCAGCAAGAACACTTCATATTAGACCTGATTGGTTGTGGTGTTGGAAGCCAACTTTTGAGGACACTTCATGGTCACTTACAGTTTCTGTTTGGCAGGTATAGTCCAATCTGTCCTACTTGGATGGGCAACTCCCCTGGCCAATTCCCTTTGAAACATCATGGGGTAGAATTTATCTTTTTTTTAAAGAATGAAGACTTGGCTAAGTACAGGTCACAACAAAACAAGATGAATGGACATGGTTAACAGATAAACAATAACTCCATGGAAACATTTAAATCAAAAGGAAAACATTTCGAGTTTTAGTGCCATAATCCTGCCATGTATAAGCCTCAGCCGATGTACACTGAAAACATAAAAAGCAAGGAATCGATCCTCAATTTGCAACATGAACTTGCTTTCAGTGCAAGGAGTTGTACAATGCTTTAGGAAATTCATGTTACATTTTCTTTTGTAATTATTCTGTTCCTGCACCTTTGTCATGCGGGTCATACCTCAGGTCACCTATTGTTCCAGGCATGCAAATGACCACTGTCCAATTATCAAATTAGAGAGTCTGGTCGGGCTACCCTGACATGGGTGCACTGGCACTGGCTCAATAGCCCGAAAAAATATCCTATCAGAAAATCTCATGACATTGTAATGACAGTGTCAGATGGCCTGGGTTCACACGCTGAGAACCATGTCTTGGCCAAATCTTTCTATCCCACAACTAGTTTGTAGTGTCATGATTAGATTAGATTTAGATTATGAACAAAAAATTAATGATGAGAATCTTTACAGGATTTGTAATAAGTCTAAATTACAATTTAATTGGAAGTGCTTGCCCAAGGCCTAGAGTCAATTCTATATTGCTATATTCCACATTACAAATTGTAACCATTTCGAAAAAAAAACACAATGTTTCTAGATAATTTCAAAGTATGATTTAAAAAAAGTAGAAAATTTTCTAATTGTTACAATATTTGTGAAACATCTCAAATAGGTTATATATATAATGAAAAGAGCTGTTCATTCAGTTTGGATATTTCCCAAAAATTTAGGAACAGAACGTAAAATGCTTGTACAGCGCAGGATGTACATGTATGATAGCAGACCAGGTAGCCTGGGTGTAAGAAACAGGGGCGAGCTGTAGCGCCTATAACCCCCCCACTGTTACATGGGTACCAGACTGCTGCCAGGCTAGCTCCTTGGCTCCTGGAGGGCCAACATTTGCCCAAGGAAATGTCACCATAGAGTGATAATAGACATCCCTCAATAAGCCTATGAATTACATTGTAAAGGCTTGTTATCCCCTAGACACAAAGAACACAGTTTCTTTAAAAATGGGTGACAAAAGGGGAGGGGAGGTGATTATGATAAAATTAACAAGTTCTAACTTCCAAGCAACAACTTGAAGTTAGTCTCCAGTCAGAATCTGATCAATGTTAGACGTGTTTACAACTGCAGAAAGGGGATGCTTTTGCTTCCGAAGCAAAAGCATTCATTGAGTTATCAGACTGCATGAATTGTCATGACATACAAAAAATCAGATGATCATTGATCAATTACTAAGGGTGACCTTGAGAGAATATTGATGTAATGTTGTAATTTTATAGAACAGGATTCTTCTTCAAGTGAATGAGTCTGAGAAACAAGTAATGGCATTATATTTAGTCTCTATGGCCGGCCAACTCCTCTGGCCAATGATGTTCCCCTTAGCCATGGAGCTACCTCCATGCCCTAGCCGATTGCTACTATTTATTTAGTCTGCAAAGGAGTCTGGTGGAGACTACATTACATGTGGTGTGGCCTAACAGTTGTATATATTTATTATACAGTCATTCCTGCCGAAATTTCTAGGAAGGATTCTATCTGCAGGAATCTACAATGTCTTAGTAGGTTTTTCCTGCAGAAATTTCCTGCAGGAAGAAAATTTTCAAAATTAATTTCCATGCATGTTATCATTCATACCTGTCCAATTATCAAATTAGAGAGTCTGGTCGGGCTACTAGTACCCAGACATGGGTGACATGGTCTTTGCAGCTTGCACTGGGTAGCTCAATAGCCCGAAAAAATATCCAATCAGAAAACCTTATGACATTGTATATAATGACAGTGTCAGATGGCCTGGGTTCACACGTTGAGAACCATGTCTTGGCCAAATCTTTCTATCCCTCAACTAGTTTGTAGTATTATGATTAGATTAGATTTAGATTATGAACAAGAAATTAATGATGAGAATCCTAGTTTTATTTTTTAAGATAGTCGGTCATCTTTTCGGCTCCTACTGGGTGACCCAGTAGTCAAGCTGCCCAGATAGGGGTACTGTAATTCGACGTGTAACTCAACAATAGTCCAACTTGATAATTGGACAGTGGCATTTGCATGTCAAGAACAATAGCTAAACTTAGTTTCATCCTGCATAACAATTGTTCCTTGATCAGAATAATTACCTGAGAACTGTTGAACCATGGTTGAACAGAAATGGACTGAGGATTTTATAACTCCATTGCTTGAAAGCAGGTTTAAGTTGCAATGCATGTATTAGGCTTCCTGCTCATATTACTAGAATTTTGTCTGGCAAAACTGTCTGTAACATAATTTTCCCAATGTTTCAACTGAACTGAACTGAACTTCAATGACATTCAGGATGCTCATGAGAAAAAAATGTTTCATTTTCTACCACTAGCTGGTACAGAACGTGTTTGTAAGCTCTTCTTTCTTTTTTGTGGTCTACATGTAGTGGAAAGAGCATGCGAAGCTGAGTGATTGAGTGAGTGAATGAGGTTGAAAGCGGCAAAAATGTACAACACTGTTAACAGATGGGTGTGGATTATGCTCTCCTTCCTTATTTTCTGCTCTGAGAATGAAGTTTTACACATCACTTGGATCAGACCGCGGGCTGAGATGTAGTCCGTGAGGTCTGAATCCTTACCCCACCAGGCTGAAATTGGCACAGACAGTCTGCAAACATCAATCAATTCACGCCTTCCATGCCATTGTTTTGGGCTTTTTGCACCTCTTTGACCAGAAATTCCAGACCGCGGGCTGAAGTTAAACTGACGGTCTGAATGGTTTTTGAGTAAATCAGCCCGCGGGCTGGGATTCTACACCTGTAGTCTAGTGCCTTTAGACCGAAGGTCCTGTAATTAAAACTTGCTGGCTAGTTGTTAGGCCTGACGGGCTGTTAGGAAAGACCACCGGTCTGCTTGTATTTATTATTAATGATATCTTAAGTTATGAACACTGCAGAACAATAATTTTCATATCACTGTGCTCATTACACCAAGAGCTACACACTGATGTGAAACTTGAATGTTGAAAATCAATTTTTACTTGAGTTTCCAAATGCCTTGTGACTTTCCAAAATTGATGCGACCAGTGTTAAAACATTAAATCACAGCCTTTTCTTGTCTCCTCTCTTCATAGTTATCTACCATCCACCTTCCGGCATGGTAACAGACATCTCTGCCATTTTCGGCATGTTGACCACTGTCAGAAGGCAACACAATTTCTTTTTTTTTTTCCAAAATCGGGAAAATTAATGTGTACTGATGTCGTCTATAAAAATTACTTGCTGTCGTGTTACTCTACAAAACTGGTGTGTTAGGCCTAGAGGTGGTTTACTACTTATGCAAAACAAACAAACAAGATGTCAATGGGTCCATTTGTATTGTAAATAACTTGGATTCCTCTGTGCATGTCCAGGCATAAGAAGGAGAAGAAGAAGGATAAGGATAAGGACAGAGACCGCAGCGGCAGCCGGGAACGAGACACCACCAAGAGTAAGAAGAAGAAGAAGGACAAAGACAAGGACAAGGACAGAGACCGGGAGAAGGACAAGGAGAAACACAGAGGCAAGAGCAAGGAGCAGGAAGAGGACAAGAAGGAGGCCAAGGTACTGGTTAGAAGAAAATAATTCATGACCTTTGAGTTTTCATGGCCCAAAGCGAGTTCAGGGCCATAAAACTGGATTTCAGTTTTCTGTTAGGCCACACCAATTTAATTTCTTGGTTAACGGATTCGCCCGCTTCATTTTTTTCTGATTTGCAAAAAAAAAATTCAGAATCAACTGCAAAATGCTCATATTTTGCCCTGAACAGTTGAAAACAGTCCTTTTCTTCGTAGTTGTTTCAGTTATTCCATCTTTCAATGCAGTGGTATCCTTAAAAGTTCAAAATTCATAATTTTCAACCACATAATTTTCAACCAGCATGGTGTGTTGACTTTATGGCTCCTATTGTACCATTTTGGGCCATAATAGGATGCCTAGGCCTGTTTTTATTTTTTTCTCGCCCGCCCGCTCCATTATTTTTCTAGAAAAATCCGTAAACCAAAAAATTAAATTGGTGTGGCCTTATTTTGATGTGGTAAGTCAATCCTGTCCCATGGCATGCTCATATCCATAACACAAAAATGTGATGTCACTGATGGAAAAGTGCTTGTTTTATATCATAGGCTGCTTCTAGCTATTTATTTTTCAAGAATGAAAAGGTGATTAAAATGTGTTTTGTTACCCGGAAATTGCACCTTTAAAACGTTGACACTTATTGACAAGTATATTGAAGTTCCTTCCAACACCTACAATGTAGATATGGTGTGTAGGGTGGTGCCCATCTCTCTGTAGCCCTTGGGCCACACAGTTATGGAAGGGGGTTAGTCAACTGGTTGTGGTTTGTGTTGAGCTCCCTTACACATTCCCAAATACTGAGAAGAGAAAGCGTTACCAATTTGAAGGCTTTGATATGCAGGGCTCGAAATTCATTTTTGGAAATAGGTGCACTGGTGCAACCAACCTAAAAAATTGGGTGCACAAAAAAATTTGGGGGTGCACCATATAACATGTATAATGAGATGAAATAAGTAGAATGTCAGCAAACTTTTACAGGTAGAATGTCAGCAAAACTTAAGTTTCATTTCTAAAGAAAAGTACCATGACAAAGATTTTTAGTATTTTTCTGACACTTAAAAGTTACAAATATGCTGTATACTACTATACATTGAACATCTTTACATAAGGCCACACCAATTTAATTTCTTGTTTAACGGATTCGCCGCTTCATTTTTTTCTGATTTGCAAATAAAAATAAAAATTCAGAATCAACTGCAAAATGCTCATATTTTGCCCTGAACAATTGAAAACAGTAGCCTGGGTACCATCCCCAGTAGTATATTCGCAAACTCTATAACTGGGTCTGGACTTGAACACATATGTAGCGTCTGGAGTCTAAATATTCGTTCAGATTTTGAACGAGCGCGCTGATTGGTCCTACTCGTCTAAGCCCTTTTTTGGGTGTGTACATATTAGGTAAGGGCTGTTCGGATGTCCGAACGGCGACGTTAGCGTCCGTTCGAACGTCCGAACGCCTTATCATCAACATGTCCGACGGCGAACCGAACGCTAAAGCGCACATGATATAGCCGTAGTCAGTCTTTCCGTGATAAATCATCAACATGGCTAACGCACAAGCCGCTCAGCTCACGGAGGTTGATGTTGACCTTGCAATCACGTCGGTTTTGGACGATTTAGACGGAATATCGTCGCTCAAAAATGAGCAAAAAGATGCATTGAATAATTTTGTTCGTGATGTTTTGGGCGTCCTACCGGTAAAAAAAAAGAACGCACCGAGAAAAGGAACACTCGCGCGAAGATCTGTGTTTACAAAACAACAAACATCACTTGAATAATGCAGGTGCGCCATTGGCCGTCGCCTCTGAGGCTCAGCCAATCAAATGAAGCCCCGCTGCTCGGGCTAGCTCATTACGTGACGTCATGACCAATCGTTTTATATGTGTTCAAGTCCAGACCCAGTTATAGAGTTTGCGAATATACTACTGGGGATGGTACCCAGGCTATGAAAACAGTCCTTTTCTTACTACTTGTTACAGTCATTCTATCTTTCAATGCAGTAGTATCATTAAAAGTTCAAAATTCATTGTTTAAATTTTGAACCAGCCTGGTGTGTCGACTTCATGGCTCCTATTGTACCATTTTGGGCCATAATAGGATGCCTAGGCCTGTTTTTATTTTTATTTTTTTTCGCCAGCCCGCTCCATTATTTTTCTAGAAAAATCCGTTAACCAAGAAATTAAATTGGTGTGGCCTAAGTTAACTTACGAAAATGCACCCACAGTAAAAAATTGGGTGCACAGCTCCAAATTTGGGTGCACTATGGTGCACATGCACCCAGTATTTCGAGCCCCAATATGACTCAGAACCTAATGGTTGTTGTTATACCTGCCCAGGTTACCCGTGACTATGATGAGGAGGAACAAGGCTATGACAGTGAGAAGGAGAAGGTGTCTAAACCCCCCGCACCAGAAGCCGCAGTGGAACAGTCCGCGGAAGCCCCACCGTCCAGCGATGACGTGGGAGACTCGGGCAGTCAGGGCCAGGCTGACATGGAAATGGACAGTGATTAAGCCTCTACTGTCTCTTGAAACTTCATCTGTGTTGGTTAGTGATGCATACCGGTTCACTGGACTTGGATACAGACTTGTAAGAATGTTTAGGTTCAAGTCCAACAAAACCTAAAAGTCAAGAACCGAGTCTGGACTTATTTCCATAAAAGACCATTTCACACACCCCTTTTCTTTCCAAACCACGTAAAACCTTTCGTAGATTGTAAAATCTTTGCTGCAAAACGAAGAAAACATTGCCATCGGGCATCGTCAAGTACCGGCCTCCATGTTATGTGGCCAAAGTTTCACCCAGACAACATTGCAAGGTTGCCAAAATGCAATTTTGTATATGCCATGGGTTTAGGTCCGGACTTACAAGTCCGGAACTGAACCTAAACTTCTGGACTTGAATCCAGGCCTGAACCTAAAATTGGGTTTAGGTATGCATCACTAGTGTTGGTAGAAGTCATTATGAAGCAAGTTTCAACTATATTTTCCTACATACGAAATTGGACTTACCCAAGTTTTCAACTGCACAAGTCCAATCTTTTTCAAGGAATGAAGAAGCCATCAGTTCTGTGATGTCACATTATGCAGATGACACACGTGACACGGTGGCCAGTGGATCATAAGGACTGGGGGCGCTACAAACTTTCTGCAACCAGTGATCCACTGCTCACCGAGTCTCATGTGCCATTCGCATAACTAACTGAAGTTGTACAGTTGGAAATTTGGGTAAGACCAATTTCTTGCGCTGGAAGTTACAGTTTAAACTTGCTTTATATATAACTGTGGTCTCTAGTCTCTAAATACAGGTAGTAGCTATTGCTGTTTTTTTTTTTACGTTTGGAGAAATTTGTAAACGATCATTGTGACACTGTAAATCTAGAAACTTTTGTGCTAGTTTTATTTTCTGTGTGATTTGCTGCTGCGCAAAGTCACCACTGTTCTGTCATACCAACATGAAAGGAACTGAATTTACTGTACAATCGTCCAGTAGTTGTACTTTAGTATATCGAAATCAAACCAGCAGATTTTCAGGTGGAGCATTTCAAGCAAGAAGTCCTCCATGTGTATGTGGTTGAGAACATTTGCAATTAAACAGTGTTAAACAGTGGTTGTTCAGTTTCATTTAGTGTTTTAAGGAAATCTAGGGTAGCTAACAGTTGTTTATGCAGGCTTTCATTAGGTCACAGCAAGTAATTTTTATGGATGACATCAGCGCGCACCGCTGTTGCCTTCAAATTTTGTTGCAAGAGGATTAAGTGGGCTAACAGGTCACTTTAGTTTCCCGCCTGGATATGCGCTACCTAACTTCCTATGCCTCCTTTCCGATGAGGTCGCGACAAGTGAAGGATAGAAGTGATGACGTCATAGGTTGTTGACCTCTCGCGAGATTTCGCGATTGGTCAACTTTAATATGCCGTCAGTGGGAATATATATAGTCACACCTTCATTTCGACCTACGTATAATCGGGTAATACATACAAATATGAATATTATGTAAAATTGTGGCCCAAAAATTGACAGCATATTATCGAGTCGAATATCGTCATATGGGTGGCATGTACAAACTCTTTGGAAGACATGATTATTTCATACTTCTGGTGCTTGTGAACTGTGAAAAACCAAGCTACACAAAGTCGGCTGATTTCCTAAAACCGTCGCAATTTTCAGTCAATAGGCGCTCTCCTGGAGTAGCATGACATGTAACTTTATAATGTGATATTTTTCTATATTATTCACCTTGAATATTCACCTTCATCATTAGCCAGTAGATACCTATACAGAGTAATGAGGCTCTGCTAGTACTACAATGTTGGGTAGTAGCTCATTCCTTCCTTCCTTCCTCGTTGCCTCTTTTATTCTTAATAAGATGGATGATGTAACAAAGTACGAGACATCTGACCAAATTTTAACACATGTTGAGGCCAAATGACAGGTTCCACCACACCAAACTAAAGGCCAACGTCCGAAAGGTCAGTACAGTACAGTAAAAACTCACGCGCTTCAACCGCTTCAACCGGCCCTCTGTCTGAGGCTATAAACATTATAAAACCACAGTTCTGACTTTCTATGTTCGCGTCATTCCAACCAAATATTGACCTAGAATTGACATTTTTTCAGGTAAAACTAGAGTTCGGAGGTCTCATGCCTTCGACAGTGTGATATTGTTTTGGTGGGTGTTGTGTATGTACAGTCTAGGTTTTTTGAAAATGATTATTGTAGTTATAGTGGTCAGAGAGTCCACAAAGCAACATACTATTTACCTAGCCTGTACCATGTCTTTCTACGGAAAAACGGATCATAGAATTCGGCAAAAAGGAGAATTGGCCTGGGGAGTCTGGCCGCGAAAGGTTGTTTTCTTCCCTCCGATATGCGGTGATCCAAACTTCAAACAAGAGTTCCGAGATCTCATACCTCCATGAAATATGGGCTTGACATGTAAATGTAAATTTTTTTTCTTTAATTATGCTATTGACCTCCACATTAACATAATAAATGCATCGTGATGTTAACTTTTGATTAACTTACACATGTACCAAGAATGAAATCCCCATCATTTACAACTACAAGGGAAAAACACCAAAACCCAAGGTCAACTACAGTGACGTAAGAACCCCCCACGAAGCCCATTTTTGGCCTTGAAAATGGCCACCACCAAGACATCCTGCCTGTCAAAAATCGTGAACCTCGGACCTTGCCTTCAAGAGTTATCGTGCATAATCTGCCAAACAGTGCAAAAACGATTTCATAGCCTTCTATCGAAGGCAAAACAACTTGACAAGAGTGGAGTTGCTCTTAAATGCTTTTGTCCACTCCCTTCCTGGCCGATCATGCGTTTGCATGGAACATAGGTCGGAATTAGGACCCCTCCCGTAATAGTATTATACGTAACAGGACTTAATGCAATTCTAAGGGCTCCTTTGCAGTCAACAACTTGAGTCGAACTAAATATTCACCAATAAGACATCAGTGTGCAATCATATAAACGTCAAATAAGGAACCGCCACGCAAGTTTGTTGTATTAATCAGTAAGACTGCCCACCCAGAAGTTCAAAATGGGCCTTATAAAAACCTTATCAATTCAGACTGTGGAAGCAAACAGGCTTTCACATGCGCCAAGTTGGATTACAGTGTACTTAAAGGCTTTTCATTATGTCAAAATAATTATCATATGAATCTCGACGACCAGGTGTTGGCGGGAAAACCGGCATGTTGAACAGACATGCACTGTAATCCAACATGGAGGATGTCAACTACACTTGTTGTAGATTGTCGTTAGATAGACATTGGAACAACTAGCCACTGCCTCCAAAAATGGAGGTATGCACCAAAGAAGTCGTCGTAGCCGCATAGAGTTAGTACTCTCTGTCATTGCTTCTTCCTGACCTCCATGTTTTCTTCTTCTCCTTGATGCCCAACATCATAGTAATGATTGCCCTGGCATGTTTATATAATAGGGTGCGCTGTTGCCGTCAACGTTAGTGCTCCCGCTCTGCTTATTGTTACTAATCCAGTGTATGAAAGTCTAGTTCTGACCCCTTCTCCCGACCACGGAAGCCCTTGCCAGCCAGACGTCGTCTGGACGTCATGTCTAGACTCACGTCTAGACACACGTCATGTCTCGCCGTACGTCGCGACAGAGCGTATATATATATGCGCACGGAGCCTGACGAGCTCATTCTCATGCTGCCAGCTGAGGATAGTACACGCGCAATCTGCTCTCATCGTAATCTCATTGCTTTGCCTTGAAGTTGAATTCGAAGTTTTGGAGAAAATGGCGAGGAACAATAACAACGGTGAGCCCGATCATATTTTCAGTATTGTTCGCTACACAGTTTCATCTTGCCCATAGAACGAATCTCATCAACAGAAACCCTGGCTTATTCATGCCGATTGATTAGGAATGTTTCGGGCTCTTGTACCGCCAAATTCAAGTGTAGGACATTCACTACGACAGTAGCAATCAGCTAATCAAACTCCTGCCGTAAACAGAAGAAAGTCCTACAGGCGCAAAATTCCCATTGATTTATTTTAGGCTGAATAAGAGATATGTATACAGCCAGGACTGCCCAACTAGCCGGATCGGGGACAAACTTGGAAGAGTGTCACTAAAACCGGGATATACCAGACTCGAGTGCTAACTTCCGTCTCGTAAACATTCGTTACCATCTGAAACTATCGAAGCCATTTATGAGATTGGTAAACAATAGTGTAAATATTATTTGAAAAAGATAAATGGCCTCGGTCAAACAATGATCATTTCTTGAAAATGTTTTCTCCTCAATTTATAAAGTTGAGTGATAAGGATAAAAAAGTGAGAATTTCGAATTCGTAAGATGAAAGCCATAATTATGTCATCGTATTTTTCTGGCTTGTTTGTGTGATGATTTCCTATTGGCCTGCCATTTACCTTGTTAACTTGATTATCGAATGCAAATTTTGCTCATGATTTACAGGTGGCACTGGCACATGTGCGTGAAACACGCCTTTCCAAGATGGCGAGTGCGCATGGAAGGGAAGAACGAGCTGGGTAAAAAGTCCACCCAGGAAGACTCGCCACGTCCGCTTTGGAGGTAAGTTGTACTTTAAATTGTCGTAGATACTCTCTTGACTATTGTAGGTAAATCTCCACTGAGGTGAATGAAGCAAAAAGACAGAATTTCGAAAATAAGTTGCGGCAACTGTTCCCACGAGTTTACGCTGCACTTAGTTAAGTAACCGATGGGGGCGCTTTTGCGTAGTCGATAAAAATGCACTTTCATCTATTCAAATGTTCATTCAGTTTTTTGCACCGTACCCACCACTTTTTTGAACATTGGTCAACCAATTACTATTCAATGACGGTGAAATTAATGATCCTGAAATAGAAAAACTACACCAATCTTAAGAGGTGCACTTTGTAAATAATCCGCTGAGGGGCGCTTTTATGTGACCCCTGACCTGAACAGCTTTGCTTGAAACTTGGTATGTTGTAGTTTTTGTCCTGTGTGTTTTAGTCAAATTCTTACGTTTCAATGTAAACAATAAAAGTGTTTTGAGGCCAGGGACAGATAGTGCTGTTTGTGCAGGGGTTGACATGAACAAGGCGATAGATTAAATTTTGGAAGGAGGGGAGACAGACGACCGGTAAGTTCGAGTGGGGAGGGGGGCGCTAACAGAGTTGTTTTATGTACCAAAGACCATATCCAGGGTTATGATATACGTCACATAGTGCTCAGGAAGGTAAATTTGTCGGTAGAAAAGACACCGAGAATCCACCATAAGCTTGACTGTTAGAGAAGCGGACTGTTTTGGTCTAGAACAGGTCAGACAAGTCAACCAGTTGTTGAGCGGTAAATCCCAAACAGACTCTCGAACGTGACTTTGGTAAAATCTGAGATTGAAATTTTTAAATTTGTCGTGTAAACCTTAGACAAACTGATGACAGACCAAACATACTTGGTATATGGTATATATGTAAATACATGTAGTTGTTTTTCGGGAACACAATTGAGATTGTAATTGTTATATTTGCTAGATTTGTAAACTTTAGACAAATTGATGACAGAGCTAACTTGAATATGATCATTTGTTTGCCTTGTTGCTGTTACTGAAGCTCCTATGCATGTTGGTCCAGATTCTGGGCTAAAATACATTAAAGGAGGTCCAAACCAAGGGAAATGTTTTCAGAGGTACCATTATAAAATAATACATGTAGCAGAAAAAGTATGCCACGAAACTCCCTGAAATTTCGTAGCGTAATCTTGAAAACTGGCTACTTTCAAAATGAAATGACATGGCCACCGGACGAAAACCTACTTTCTTTAGATTGTTGACGTTGGAGTTTCCGGTTTTATGTGGACTTTATTGCTTGTTATTTCAAATTTCCTGCGCTTTAAGCAAATGTTTCAGAGGTTCGCTAGATGGCGCTAGTTATGGATCGGTCCTCTTGTCACAAAATCCCAGTCATTTTAACAAGTGGAATACATTGTATGTATGTACACAAACTTCGATGTAAATAATTGTACCAACACAGATGAACTTCGAAATTTATGCTATGCTAATCAACTAATACATACATTTGACATCACAATAATGTGCCCTTTAGTAACTCATTCTTTTCTTTAAATC